GGTGGCGTCATGTATGGTGACGTCATGTATAATTATACCGTTTACTTTGGCCCTGCTCTGCGTTGTGCCAATAATGTCATCAAAGATGTGGGGGATTAAGGTGACTGCTTGGTCTCGATTCGTAGAGAGAGCTTAGCTAAGCCGGTTAAAATCCGGGTAGCCACTGTGTGTGCGCTGAATTGTGGAGATCTCTAGGTCCCCGGTTCAATTCCCATTGCTGCCTCTCCTTGTGTTTCAGCTAGAGGGCTGAAATACAAGTTACACGGTAACGCACCGTCTTTTGGATGAGACGTTTTTAAGCCGTTGGTCCTGCGTGCATTTATGACCCATGTGCACGTTAAAGAACGCAGTACACTTCGGTAGGGGATTGTCTCCCGGTGTACTGCCCAATCATCACCAGAAGTACCCCACTGGAAATAAGCCCTCTTCTAGACTTTCGTGGGCTCTCCTTGGTGTTTACACCGAATAAATCCAATCCAACCCAATCATGTATGTTCTGCTTTTCTAATCTGGACACAGGGTTCCCGGAACGCCGCCCTCAGCGGCGTGTGCGAAGCACAACTCAAAGGCAGATGTAGAATTTGGATTTGGTTTTGTAGTCAATTTGCGAGAAAAACTTCAGCTACCTGTATTTCTCGACTCAGACGTCAGTGGGAGCTGTAATTTGTATGGCAAGGAGATGGTGCTACCCTTAATTCGTATTTTGGAATTTACGTCCACAAACCTTGTAGTTATTAATAATGACGCAATTTTTAAGTTTTTTAAAAATCTGCAGAGGGTATTTCCGGGTGTCTAGAAAACAAACATTTTCCGGGGTAGTGTTGTCTCTCAATCGTCCTCCCCCATCCCCTTTCGGGGACATCTCCCCACGTATCCACCTGCAGAGTGTAGATGTAGCCTTTTTCTGCATTATTTTGAAATTAATTAATTTTATTTAAATTATTTATTACTGCTGGGTGCTCGATCTGGTGGAGAAAACTTGCAGCCGACACGATGACATTATTTCGATGGTGGTGACGACGAAAATCATACTAATTAAAAAACAATCATTTTTATATTTCATACACCGAGGTCACGATATCAAAGACAATCAAATAACTTTTTCATTTCAATCATTTTAATATTATTATTAACCAATCCATCACTAGGCTAAGTAATTTAGTGCATTACTGAAATGTAGAATCCGATGGTGTAATTCATATGATTACTACTCATCCTCCATTTTATACAAACGTACGCCTATAGAAGTTGCTATAATATTTAATTTTGGTACAGTATTTGTTATTCGATTTCCATGCAAACATACCAATTAAATAAACAGGAAGATATACTAAGACCACTGGGTGGACCGTGGTTCCTCTGCAGGCTATGAACATACACATTTAAATCGGTGGCACTCGGTAAAAATTGGTGCGTTGACGAAACAATATACAAAAAAACAATATACAAAGGAAAACTTAAAACTAAAAAAAAAAAAAATGATTGATAGCATATAATGGAGAGGGCGGGCTTGGTTCAACCCGTTCGTCTTAGTTCATCAAAAACAAATTTCCCCAAAGGAGCCAATTGAATGTTCAAAAATTGAAAAACTAAACACCAAAATTGAGACTAACGTGTTTACAGTTTATTTGTTCAGTGTAGCACATGCACGCACGCATCTACACCTCACGTACATCATGTCCATTACCATGACAAAACTAAAAACAAAAGAAGACATTGGCATATTGTTAAAGACCTGTCCGGGCTATCACATTTTATTTGATAAAAGCATGTGAAATGCTTAAATATAGTTATAATGTGTCCCTCTCCATCGCACATCATGCCAACAATGTTTTTTTTTTTATTAGCTCTAACCCTTTTAAAGCTTTTTATGATTTGTTTTTTTAGCATTTTCATGTAAATTTTTGCTTTTTAGTAATGACAATTTTAGCATTTTTATAATGGTTTTAGAGTAGGCCTATGTTCTTTTTTAATGTATTAGCTATTTTTTTTATGTTTTTATATTTACTTGTTTATCATATTATTTTAAGTTTTTTTTAACATCATGATCTTATGGTAGAACAGTATTTTATATTATTGAATACGTTTTCGTGAATAAATACAGTGACTATACTATAATAGGAAGAACTATAACCAATTCGGATACGTGATCAAATGTTTAGTCAATCCATTCCCTCTACATTAGCATATTCAGTGGCGTGTCTAGGAGTCTTGAAATGGGGGTGCTGATGGGATGGGGGCGAGAAGGTGAAGTGGGTGGGGGGGGGGGGGCTCAGGCTCGATGACCAGTTGAGGGGCGCTATTCAACGATAATATTCAGCACTTATATGTATTTTCAAGAATGTTAGGTACACATGACGATAATTAAGATGACGTATTCGTATTCTTTATCGTTTTCATCAGGTTTCGAAAAATCCCTATTATTTTACTATACTATGATGAAATCAAATCATGAACATATATAGGCACATCATATTATTATTATTTTTATTGTTATTATTGTTATTATTATTATTATTATTATTATTATTATTATTATTATTATTATTATTATTATTATTATTATTTTATTACTTTGCTCTTTTAATTGTGTGTATGTGCAGATCCTGGTCATGTGATTGACAAGGGCGAGTCGAGTGGCCGAGCCGTAGGCAGGGCGCCACTAACTACCTGAGCCTAAAATCGGCGCTGGTTCCAGCCGCGCCTCGTACAGGGTTCGGTCGGTAGAAGCAAACCTTCGGATAAGGACTTAAAGTGGCAGCCAGTGAACACATCCGGCTCTTGTGCACTTTAAAGCGCACAATGCATCTTCCGGAAGAGTAAGGTACGTTACCGTCATCGATGCTATAGTTCATTTCAGCCCCTGCAGTTGTGGAATGATGTAAACATGTAGCTAGGCCTACTATAAGCACCTCTTTACGGCTGCTAGGTAGTCACGGACAACGCCCATACGCAATTCAGCACAATGAAGCTGCGGGCTATAAATTATTAATATATAAATGACGGATAGACCGTATACGTTTTTTTAATGAGGTAATTGCTCTGGTTTTTTTTTTTGGTTTTTTTTTGCACAATATCAAATTTTGTCAATGTTTTGCAAAGTATTTTTACCTTGTATGCCCTTTACTTTATATCCTTAGTTGTCGTCAATGCTTTTAAAAGTTTCAGAATGATTAATATCCATGTTTTGTTGTGTACTCTTTTAATTATATTTTTCATTTTTGCTCAGTTTTTTTTTGCGTATTTTTAATTTGTTGGCCAAGCGGTAGGCAGGGGCAGTAGGCAGGTGCGCCGCTAACGACACGGTTCCATCCGCACCTCGCCCAGGGTTCTGTTGGTAGAACTAAGTCT